TATATTAATCTGCAGTGCCAAAAGAAAGAGAAGTAACCATCTTTCCTTTGTTTGGTTTGGTTTTGAGATGGTGCCGTGCCCTGTCATTGTGTGTTTCCAGAATGCTGCCCACTGGATGGCAGCAGGGGCCCAAGACATTCTCCTCATGGCAACCGGGGAATCTTCAGGTTATGTCTCAGTTGGCCTGGCTGTTTTGTGGATCATTTGTACAGGTTAATGGAGAAACACATTTGGCTTGTCTACATTTTTCTTGGCAAATTTTGATGGAAGATTCTCACAGGATATTGTCTGGAACCACAGAGTACATATTTAACATTTATATTTAACACCCAGTGAACCCTCTTTCCTTCTTCCACACGATTGGAACTGAGGCCAGTTAGGAGGGAAGCAACCTCAGGGGGAGCATTTTAAAGAAATAATAAAGTGACTACAAGGAGGTTTAAGTGCCATCCATTGATTCTCCCTTGCAAACATTGATTGATTGATTGATTGATTGATTGAGTGAGTGAGTGATTGAGTGATTGAGTGATTGAGTGATTGAGTGATTGAGTGATTGAGTGATTGATTGATTGCTAAAGGGTGAATCGGTTTTCAAACCATCTAAGGACAATCTGACAAGGAGGCAATTTCAGAAGTCCTAATCTTTGAACAGCTACCAAATAAAATGTAAAAAATACACAACTAATAACAATAAGGACAAATAACAATAACATCACGCAGCAATATTCCTAGACCCCCCCACCCCATTTGCTCCAAGCAACTATATTTTCAAGTCCACACCTGTGTGAACTTATGGTGTAATCTTACATACGTTTACTCAGAAACAGGCCCCAGTTATTTCAGTGAGCTTAATTCCAGGTAACTTAATACAGAACTGCAATTTTTTCATCTACCATAATTAAATTAGTCCTCTCCCTCAGGAAGTTGTCCAACTGCCACATAAATTTTCATTTGCCTTTTTTAAATCTCCAGGAAGTACAGGGATTGTTAGCAAATTTATTATGCAGGGACAAATTCTGTAAGATACTGTACACCTCAGTGCCACAGGGAGACGCAGCTATTTAGGGCTCCCATCAGTAAAGCGCATTCGTTTGAAAACACTTTGTCATATTTGGACATTATTTATTTATTTAATTAATTTAATTTATTTATTTAATTAATTTAATTTATTTATTTAATTAATTTAATTTATTTATTTAATTAATTTAATTTATTTATTTAATTAATTTAATTTATTTATTTAATTAATTTAATTTATTTATTTAATTAATTTAATTTATTTATTTAATTAATTTAATTTATTTATTTAATTAATTTAATTTATTTATTTAATTAATTTAATTTATTTATTTAATTAATTTAATTTATTTATTTAATTAATTTAATTTATTTATTTAATTAATTTAATTTATTTATTTAATTAATTTAATTTATTTATTTAATTAATTTAATTTATTTATTTAATTAATTTAATTTATTTATTTAATTAATTTAATTTATTTATTTAATTAATTTAATTTATTTATTTAATTAATTTAATTTATTTATTTAATTAATTTAATTTATTTATTTAATTAATTTAATTTATTTATTTAATTAATTTAATTTATTTATTTAATTTATTTAATTTATTTGCCGCCCACTCTACCCAGAGGTCTCTGGGCGGCTTACAACAATTAAAATTCAATACAATACATTACATGAGTAGATGTACACTTAGTACATATTGAGTATACAGTACGAAAAAGGGGGGCATTATGAAGTAGCTGCATATTCCCTCTGAGTGAAAGAAAAATACAGGCATCATATCAAACTCAGAACATTTTGTTCTCTCTACAGATACTTCGTCAGAGATTCTGGAAACCCTCAGCAGAAGATCTGCCAAAAACACACCCTCTTCCAGGAATAGGCAAGCCTCTGTGTATTGTTCATTCCTGCACAATTATTTAGCAATAAATGCTCATTTATATTATTTTGCTACAAATTTCCCATTGGTATGCACAGTTCATGCACTGGTTGTCCTGTGAAAATCTGGTTTGCATAAATATGGTCACCCTCTGCACTCATTAAACCCATTTGCAATGAAACAGGTCTCAGTAGCCTAATTGGTTAACAAATGAGAAACACTGCAGATTAAAAATTTCAATTATGTCTGTGAGATCTGAGAGCAAAAACCCACGGATGCCTATCCCTTTCTTCTCATCCATGTCAGAACAAATGACACAGCCAAGAGGGTCTATCAGCAAATCACATCCGACTTTGAACCTCTGGGAAAGAAACTCAAGGATTTGAAGCCCCCCGGTAGTCTTCTTGTTTGTCCTACCAGTACTCAGAAGAGGAACAGAAACAGAAAGGAAAATATTCTGAGTAAACAACTGCCTACAAAGGTGGTGCCAACATGAGGAATCTGGATATCTGGACCATGGCCATTGCTTCTTGGAAGATGGACTGCTAGCAAGTGACAGGTTGCACCTCACAAGGACTGGGGAGAATGTGTTTGGCTGTAGCAGGCCAACCAGCCAATCTAAATTCTAAGGGAAAGGGTGTGTCCTCTAAATTTGGCATCCTGGGGCAAAGCCCCTCTTGTCCTGCCCTAGCTATGGCCCTAATCACAGTAACATTAAACTGTGTTCTGATTTTTTTTTAATGAGGCAGATATCATTTCCTTCCTAGCAACACCAACACTTCAGCTCGGAATTTCCTTCTCCAAAGAAGACTTATCCATCATTTTGTATAACATAATTCACTGCTAGATAAATAAATGTGCACTGAACCCATTCAGGAGGAGGCTAGTTCCTTACGTAATAAACAGGCAGAAGGACGGCTGCACGCTTTGTCCCTTATGGCTTCTATGAAGATCTAAGCGGGGACGAAGAATATCCACAGGTCCAGGGGCAAAAAAAATCCACTTCTGAAACTTGGAGAACTGCTCCCTCCTGCATCCTCACATTTTAAACTCTTTGTTGTTACCCAGAATAATGCCTCATGCCAATATTTAGTGGGACTGAGAGAGATGTATTTCCCCCTTGAAATGAAGTGATCAGAAGTCATCTGATGGAAGTGATCCCCACAACCCTCAGAGGTGTTTTCAGTAAGTGGGAGGTGCAGCTTGGCCTGCTGGGCAGCTGCACTTTCACCACCCCTGAATTAGAGATTTGGTTTTTAAAATAATAATAATGCAAATAATAGCTGGAAATTATGGATTTTTGGAAAGACACTACTACCATGCCCTCCTTCTTGCAGAGACCCAAGGCTGCTGTGATATGTTCCACAAATAAAGTGCTTAGCAGACTAAATTTTCCACATGTAAAAGTGAGAATGTAAGGAAAGCAATTTGAAGCAAACCCTTTATTATAAAAGCCATATCAAACCTGCAATCTTATTTACACAAAATCATATCCACTAGTTTTATATAACTGATGTGCATTTTGAGTGCCCAGACTTTTGGAATTTGCAGATGTCGAATTATTAAATGAGCAGTTTTTTCTCACAGCTCCCTGCTGGCCCAGAGAGGCTGTCCTCGAAAACAGAGCAGAGCCTCAAACTAGCAACCAGGTTTTCAGTAGGAGTGGTCTTCAGGATGGATGTGTGTCTGTCTGTGTAACCTAACCTAAATCTAGGATTAAAAAGAGAGAATCCCCTGTGAACAGCTGCACCTCCAGAATTTGTGGGGTTCTGACCCACAAATTGTCCACCCCTGTCCTGGGAAAAATAGCTAATATCTTCTTTTAGAGATTACTGAGAAACAGAAACGGACACAATGATGCTTAAGATGTGGATTATTATGAGTCAAATAGGATGCTTGAAGTAAGGTAATTATGAACTTAGTCAAGGTGCTCTTGCGCTGAGGATCCTAGTTGTTGTGCCCGAGTTCCTTGCTTTCTTGAATCCTATGGCACGCCCTGTTTCTCTCTTCCAGGCTGATCATTGTGCTTCAGGGGTGCCATATATATAGATTTGCTGCAGGAACAGTCTGTCTCTGAGGGTCTGATGACAAGAAGGACCAGTCCCCATCCACCATGCCCTCAAAATCCCCATCCCAAGAAGAAATTCCCCACTTTGAACAATTGCAACCCATCTCTGCCTTCAGGACTCCACTGCTTCCTTATAGCTTGAACCTTGCCTAGGATTTTACTAACTGTAACCCTTCTGTTCTTTGTTTCTTGCTCTGGAACATGACCTCCCCTGTTTCGAATCATGGACAGTTGCATCTTCATCAACCTTTATCAAGAAAGGTTGATTAAAATATAGATTATACCATTCCACCACTGCCCCACATGTAAATGCATTGCCTCGGAAAAGCTAAAACAATAGCAAAACATCCTTAAAGAGGCGTCATATATTGATTTATTGCATTCAACAAGTGTTAATAAAGTGCAGTAGAGAGATTTCAGTAAAAACGATGAACTTACCTTGCTTGTTACAACCCAGTGATGCATCCAAGCAACTGTGTGCCTATTTTGCTTCCTAAACCTTAGGGGAGATGGCGACTCAAGCAATTACAGATAAATTCACATATAAAAAAACAAATGTACTGTAAGACCTGGGAAGAACACTTTGAGCTCCCTCTGCTGATTGTAAACTAGCACAATCTCTTTTTGTCAGCTTGAGAAAAATGTACAGTGGACCCTCTACTTATGGAATTAATCCGTATTGTAATGGTGGCTGCAGGTCAAAAAGTCTGTAGATTGAGTCTCCATTGACCTACAATGCATTGAAAACCAATTAATGCCGTAATCTGCCATTTTTGTTCCATTTTTGTTCCATTTTGGTTTTTTTCAGGTCTGTAGGCCGATTCTCTGGCTGCAAGTCGAACCTAAATTTTGCGGCCAGAGAAGTCTGTAACTCGAAAAGTCTGTAAGTCGAGCCATCTGTAAGTCGAGGGTCCACTGTAAGGCTAGAAAGTCATTTCGTGAGCTAAGGAAAAAAATGCTTTAAAATACTGAAAAGGCTGAGAGCAATAGATTTTATTAAGGTTAGAAAGTCATTTCGTGAGCTAAGAAAAAAATGCTTTAAAATATTGAAAAGGCTGAGAGCAATAGATTTTATTATTTTAATGGAAAAAGGGAATGGGAGAGAACAGATAAATGAAAGAGAAAGAAAAACCCCACAGGAAAATTACAGATTTAGGCTACAGTCCTATACACATTTACACAGCACATGCTGATGCCTGTGTTTATACGTATTATATAGATATAATTCTTCACTATTTTAATCAGCAAGACAGTATCTAAAGCAGGGATGAAGAACTTTTTGCTGCCTAGCTTAGACAGCAACGGTTTGCCTTTGGTCCCATTCACCATGATCGTCCACAGGTCACTGGCAGAGGAGGACTAGCACCTACCATTAGCCAGAGTGGAGTTAATTTGGGCAGTAATCTACGGTGTAATGAAAGGGCAGAAAACTGCTTGCTTATTCTTACTACTAATATTACCAGGAAGGGCAGGAGAGAGGAGAACCATAAGATTTTGTTGCAGTTTTTAAATTTCTGGCAAAATCATCATTTTGCTTTGCAATAGAAGGACAGAGACTCACAGAGGAGAAAAAGCTACATGTTCCCCAGAGTCCACCTCTTTCTTATCAACTGGCCCTTAAGCTCTCAATAATTCATTCTAAGACATTTGTAGGAGAAAAGATTAAAAACATTTCCTTACTTAAATTTGCTTGAAATTACAGACTTGTGTCCTTACTGCACACTTATTTAGTAATCAGCTGAACAAATCAACAGCAAAAAAACAACAACAACACTGCCACTAGCTGAGACAAGACTGCCTTGTGGTGCAGTACAGTACTTAAACTGTGGTACTGCAGTCAAACCTCTGCTCACAACCCGTGTTTGATCCCTGCAGGTTCAAGTAGCTGATTCAAGGTTGACTCAACCTTCCATCCTTCCAAGGTTGGTAAATGAAATACCCAGTTTGCGGGTGTGTGTGGAATGTGTACCCTGTATAATTAAATATATAGGCAGTATACTTTGAAACAACACACTTTGAAGATAGGGAAAAGAACGCTCAGCAGAGAAGTGGGGTACTCTTTGAATTCAAAAGAACAATTGGTTAGTGCCGGATAGATGGATAATTATCCCAGCCCAGAAAAAATTGCTTCCAGTCGCACAATGTAAAGACAGCCTATGAGGTTGCAAATAAAACTCCTACAGATATATCTGTCTTTGGTTAAACCTGCCTCAAGTTTAAAACAAACTTGACAGGCTGTGAAGAAGTGAGTCTGAGTGTGCCGTCCTCCAAAGAAAAAGCACATACAAAGGAGAGTGGCTACGTGGAGGGCATCTTGGTTGAAATAGATCAGGATGAGGGAATGAAGAGGAAGCCTACTGAAGTCTGTCTGGCTGATGAAGAAGGGGTGGAGTTTGATCTGATCATGTGGGAGGATGTAAAGGAGGAGGGAAACGCGCGGGTTTTCAGTTGGCTGGGGGAAGGAGCACTAGGAGGATATGTGAACCGAGGGGTTCAGACTGAGCCCATGCGCGAGACCGAAGGTACACCAGGCCTGGCGCGGGATTCCTTGGTGGCCGGAAGGTGATCAGCCCGTGTTCCAGGATCCAGCAGAAGCCTCTGGAGGGAGACTGGGCCCTTGTTGCGGGACTGTGTGCGCGGTAAGGAGCACCCCGCTACGGCCGATGACAGATCGGGAGCATTTTGGCCCGGCCCCTTGGTAGACATCAATGGGAATGGGGAAACGCGGCACCCCAAGAGATACCATTTGTTACCAGATGATGTTTTAAGGGATCCGTTTGATCCAGTTGAGTTAAATACTCGTTCAAATAAACTTGTTGATTTTGAAGAAGAGTCGCCTCCTCATCTTTTTCCCGCCTTTACCACTCAGCCCCCCCCACCCCCGGCTGCTGTACCCACTTGTCACACAGGCCTAAGGTATTATGGACCTTAACTTGCAAGGCGATGATGGCTTGCAACTTGCTGCTCTGCTTCAGGCAGCAAAACATGGAAATCCTGAGATAGAAAGCCCAACTCTTTATGCGGAAGCCAGGCCCAATGCTTCTGCGCATGCACCTGCTGCCTAGCTGATAGGCTGGCACATGTGCAGAAGGCAGCAGGTTGCTTCCTCAACATCAGGCCTGATGCCTCTCTACATGCATCAGTCTATCAGCTGGGCAGCAGGCGCATGCTCAGAAACAGCAGTCCTGGATCCCAGGGCTCCTTCTTCCGCCAACCAACTGATAGGCCGGCGTATGCACAGAAGCAGCAGGCTGGCTCCTCAAAGCCAGGCCTGATACCTCAGTGCATGCATCTGTCAGCTGAGTGGTGGACACGTGTGCAGAAGCTGTGGTTCAGCTTCTGTGTAAGGAGCCAAGCCTGCTGCCTCTTGGGATGGTGGTGGTGGTGGTGGACGAGGAGAAGGATGTGGGGGCAACAGCAGCAGGACCAGATAGGAAAGTGACATGGCAGTGGGGAGGGAGGGACCATCCTGTTTTGCCAAAGCAAAACAAAGTGCTGAGGGGGGAAAATTTGGCACTTCATTTCATTTCAACAAAATGGGACCCTCGAACTGGCTCACGAAACATGAACCAGCCCAGTTCCTGGGTTTTTCTGGTTCATAGCTTGGTTTGTGCCCATCTCTAATCCTGATACATGTGTTGATTCAACAGCACGCAGCGGCAGCTGCATGGTCGTTAGAGGAGACAAAATAATATAACTGTGCTGAATTCTTCCAAAGGCTAACCACCAGATACAAAATTACTTTTTGTAATCATACAAGCCAAATGTCCCCTAACTATCCCCCAGTTAGACTGTTGCATCAATTTCCAGTCACATGATGCATGACCATGATCAAATCATTTTTGGGGCCAGTGGTGTATCTGCAGTTTATTTCCCCCCTCACTGGGAGGCTTCTATTATTTCGTTCTGATGGTGCACCTGATAACTGTTACTGGTATTGCATGTGTGAGCGTCAATTCCTCATCCCCCCCCCAATCTTCTGCATGAATTTCTCTCCTGCAGGTCAGGCCCATATCCTCCTTGGGCTGCCACTTGCTGCCAAATGCGCTACTTTGAGAGGTTCAAGAACTGAAACAGGACTCTGAAACCCAGGCCAGAAAAAAAAAGACGGCTGCATTTATTGGTGGGAAAAGTGCGTTTCCTTTGCCTTGGGCCAGGATCCCATTACGGGGGGTGGGGGAGCAGCAATTTCCCATTTTGGAGGGAATGGGCCCCCATACGATAACACTCAGCACCTTGAGGCATCGCTAGCCTGTGGCATGCTCTGGGCACCTGTCCTAGTTCAGCCAGTGAAGGAGGCCTGGGGGCAGCTCCCACGGCATGGGCCCCCTTGCCTGGACTTCCCAACCGGGGAAAACTGAGAAGGGAGAGCAGCCAGGACCAAGGCATTACCGTGAAGAAGCAACCTCACCCCCTGCAGGGCTCAGCAAGGGTGTGTGCGCTTAGTGAGAAAGGTCTTAAATGTTGTCATTGTTGTCAAGAATCCCTTTAGAAACTTGGGCTGCGTCGTTTTTAACACCAATAATTGCAACCCATAGAAGGGACTGTGCATTTCGCTCCTCTTCCTCCTGAATCTAGTGTGCTTTTCCATATACTGTATATTCTGCCTACAGACTGAATGGATAGGGAGTGAAATTTGGTGGAAGACAGATAAATACAGTAATTAAGATACGCAGATGCCTTCATGTTACTGGCAGAAAGCAGCAATGACTTGAAACAACTTTTGGTGAATGTGAAAGGAAGGGGGATTTAACGGCAGGTAACCCCAACAAGGCCCATTAAACTCAAAGGCCTTAAACATCTCTGTATCTTCACATGATGGAGTAGCTTCGGGAACTAAAGTTAAAATTACAATCCTATGCACACTTTCCTGCTAGTAAGCTTAATGAAGCTTACTTCATTGTGTAAACAGAACTTGTTTAAACAGAGGACCACAATGGACTGTCTGAAGAAGTTGGTCAGTCTTTCTTACACGCATTGGTAGAGTTAAATTTTTTAAGAACAACTGGCTAGGTTGTCCTGAGCTGGAAATATTAATATATCCACAATCTTAGAACTGCAGAGCTGGAAGGGACCCTAGGCATCATGGGGTCCAGTCCCTGTCAAGGAGGCCCACTTGGGGAAATCAAAGGCCCAACCTCCCCCTCCACAGCCAGAGACTTAAGTGTTTTGGATTTTAACCCCCCCCCCGCCATGACTTTTTATGGTCAGGAAGACGGAGTGGTGCTTGTGAGCCTTTCCACAACAGGTGGGCCCCATGAGCCCCAACTTTTAGACTTTCTCTCTCTCTCTGGCGAGGGCTTGAATTTCCCGCTCTGCGTCCCAGAGCAAAACAGGCTGGGCCAGGAGCCAAGCGGGGGGGCCCTTGAGGGCAAAGGCGGCCTCACTTTCCCCGTGAACGGCCCGCCGCCGCCGCCCGGTCTCCCGGGATAATGGTCCCCTTTGCGCTCCCCGACCCCACCCCACCCCACCCGGTGGCCCAGGCAACGGGGTTCCAGAACTCTTCTCCGCGGGAAGAAGGGGCTCTCGCAGCCCCTGGCGCCTGCCTGCCCGCCTGCCCAGCTGCCGGAGCAATCAGGCTATGGGAGCAATCAGGGTTGAATCCGGACCACCCCTGGCGCTCGCCCGCGCGCCCGCCCAGCTGCCGGTGGCGATGGGAGCAATCAGGGTTGAATCCGGACCAGGTGCGTTCTCCCCGCAGCCGGCATGAAGCTGGACCCGGCCCCGCCCGGCCGCCGCCAGCCCTTCTGGGAGCTGCTGCAGGTGGCCCGGAGCTGCCGGACCAGGAGGCGTTAGCCTTACACCGAAGAGGTGAGCCTGGCCAACGCGGGGGGGGGGCGCGGTGTGGTTAACACCGTCCAGCCCCTCCGGAGAGGGCACGGAGGGGAGAAGACAGCTCGGCCCCTGCCTGCCTGCTCCACGCCTCCCTCGGTCGCCGCTGGGCGCGGGGCAAGAGCTTGCCCGCCCGCCCTCCAGAGCTTGGCGGCCTCGGCTCCCCGACGGTCCCGGAGCTGTACTCAGTCCCGTTACTAAAAGCAGCGCTTCCCCCCCCCTCGCTTCTTCCCCGGAGAGGAGTCGGGGTGGGGGTGGGTGGACGTTCCTTGAGTTCCTTTGCCGCGAGGGAGGCGCCGGATAAGTCCCAGTTTTCCTTTCCTTCCTCCCCTCCCTCTTCCCTCCTCTTCCTCGCTTCAGGAGGTGGCGTGTCGGAGGCCCCCCTGAAAACTGCGCTCGGAGCCCCGCTCGTTCGCTGCCAAGGTAGAGCGAGCCTCCTTGGGCTGCTCCTCGGGACGGGGCGGGTGGAGGCGGAGGTCGGGGAGCGACAGGTTTGGTGGCTCTGCCGAGGCTTGGGGGTTGCAACTGCGAGAATCTTTGCGCCCTCCCTCTCTCCCACCCACCCCCCGTTTATTGCAACTCGTTTTGACAGAAACATTTGAATTATAGTTGCCTTCTTCCACGCCAGAAAGGGGAGGGGGCAATGTCGGCTGAATGCCCCCTCCATGCAAGCCATTGATAGATTGGAGAGGAGGCAGCGGTGAACACCTTTCCCTGACATGCTAGCTTTCTGGGTGCGGAGGAAATGTGTGTGAGAAGCCAAGTTGGCTTTACCCTGGTGCAAGATGAACAACTGCCTCGGGCAGCAGTAGCTGCTCCATCTGCATTGGAGGGTAGAGTTGTGTCCACACGCTACATGCCCTCTCCAGAGACATCTAAAGTTGGCCTGCTCCCTCTGGTGTGACTGCCTCGGGCAGCAGTAGCTGCTCCCTCTGCACTGGAGGGTAGACACGTTACATGCCCTCTCCAGAGCCATCTAAAGTTGGCCTGCTCCCTCTGGTGTGGTGGTGGAAGAAGATGCTTTCTCGCCACCAGGAGAGGCATGCAGTTCCGTTGGTTGTGAGGATTGGGTAGGGAGCGGGGGCACCATCCCAATCTTTGCTGGAGGTGGCAAAAAGCCCTTTGCCCTGGGCCAGCCCTACTAGTCAGATGCAGCCTTCTTCTGACTCCTGGACTTCCTCCTGCATTGGTGCAAGCCGGGCACTTTGGGCCACCCCAGGAAGTCAATAAAACCTTCATTCTTAGCCTTGTTGTGGTATGACGGTGACTCTGGACTGCTTTGAATGCCAGGATCAGGTCTTGGTAATGTTGCCTTCTTTGGACTATAGTTCTCAGACCTCTACAGCCAACCATGGGTGGCTGGGGATTCTGGGAGTTGTAGTCCACAAAAGTGACAGTTCCAAGCCCAGACAGGAAGAATAGCATAAACTTATCTATCTTTGGAGTGATGTACAGATCACTTTAGACAGTGTGTGTGTGGGGGGGTCTCTCTTGTGAGTTGCCAGTGTGTATAAAGTAACTCTTGAAGTGTTCTGTGTTTATATTTGTCCTTCCCCCCCACCCCTGAATTATAGAGGCATCACCTTTGTCCTCGATCAGGGATAACAGCGAAATGAAAACTGTAAGATATGAACATAGTCTGGAATCAGAACAAACTCAGGGGTGAGTAAATTTGGATGGGATATAAATATGGTCTGTATAAATGGGTGGAGCGCCTGCAGAGGGTTACAGGTCCACATACAAGGAGGGCCTGCTCTCTCACATTCTGATAACTGTCAGTTCAAGACTTTAACATTTTTCCTTAAACACTGTGAATGTGCCTCATTTCAAGTCATAGGGTGCTGAGAATATAATAACACTTCTATTAACCCATTCTCTCTCAGGAAGAGGAATTTGTAGTCCTCCCGGTGTTTCAGACTATAACTCCCACAATTCTTTGTGACATTGAGCTGAATTTCCACAGGTTGTCATTCTTAGTCTCGGCCTTTACCATGTGCAGAAGGATGTCCTCAAGTAACATAATTAGAAGTAGAATATAGCAGCCAGATTCTTACTGCCAATTCATGTGAGTTTAAGGCTTATTCTAGGGACACTGTGGCGCTGCAAGTTAAATCTCAGAGCCTCTAGGCAAGGTTGTAAGACCAGCAGTTCGAATCCATGCAACGGAGGGAGCTCCCGTCGCTTGTCCCAGCTCCAGCCAACCTAGCAGTTCAAAGGCATGTACAAATGTGAGTAGATAAATAGGTACCACCTTGGTGGGAAGGTAACGGCGTTCTGTGTCTAGTCACGCTGGCCACGTGACCACGGAAATGACCTATGGACAAACGCTGGCTCTACGGCTTGGAGACAGGGATGAGCACCGTGCCCTAGAGTTGGACATGACTGGACTAAATGTCAAGGGGAACCTTTTTACCTTTACTAAGGCTTATTATAATATCTCAAGATGGCGAGGTGAATAGAGTGACGGACTAGGGCCCAGGAGGCATGACTTTGAGTCCTTGCTCAGCCGTGACGGGTCACTGGGGGAAGGGTGGAACTGGTAAAACCACTCCTTACAATATCTCGCTTACCTTGAAATCCCTGTTAGGGTCACTATAAGTGAGTTTCGACTTGACAGCACAGAACATGCCCAAGGGGAGTCATGTAAGTCTGGGTGGAAAACTGTAGCTCCTTACCCAGAAATGTAACCAGCACTTTGTTATGTGCCCAATCTGGCAATGGGATTCTGCCTGTTTATCTTTCAAGCTATTCCATCTAAACATTTCAGATTGCTCGTTTATAGGTAGCAACGGTGATAGCAGGAAGATATACCAAGCCAATTTAAACTCATCTTCCAAAGTTATATATATATATATATGATTCTTAAAAGTAAGTTTCCAGGTTCTGAAGGATATATCTATATCTATATCTATAAATCGAGATTGAGATCGAGATCTCTCTCTTCACAAAGTGCCCTTCTTGGCTATACATTTGGTTATTCCTGGATTTAAGCTAGTTCTTGAAGATTCTGGAGGAAAGACAAGTCTTCCTGTTTTGTTTGCTTGTTTTTAAAGAAAAGGGACACATACTGGGTGGTGATTTCATTTTAAATTTTATTTCTTGATAAAGAAGGAGTCTTAATAGAGATGCTTGACTCTGTGGCAGATCTCAAAAAACTGAGGGACCTACTGTTACAATTGATGACGGTACAGAGGAAGAAACTGATGAACCAGAGTCACTTACTTAGTAAGTTCAGAATCTGGCCGATGGATGAAACTGATGTGTCCTGTTTTTTGTTGTCTTCCATCCTCCCTGTCCCTCTGAACAGAGAGCTTGCTGATATACAGAGAAAATTAGCCAAATGAATGTTAAATTCTGTATTGCAGAATTTTCCCAATTTTACAATGTCCTAAATACTATTAATAAACTTACTTTCCATTTGTGGGTTCTCTTGTTGACAAAATGGCGCCATCCATACTAGGAAGCAAAGGGGTGTGCTGAGCTTGTGAGTGTGTGTGGCCTGGATCTCAATAAAAGGCCTCCTGGATCAGGAGCAGGGGAGGGCAGAGTTTCAACATTGTCTATTAAATGTATGTGTGGGAACTTTGTAGGCCTAGACGAACATTTCATTTTAATTTCTGCTGCTGTGAGTTAGGTATCTGGCTGTGGGGCTAGAGATTGGGAGTTCGATTCCCCAGTGTACATCCCAGAAGAGCCAGCCTCTATGGTTCTGGGAAGGCTGCACAGCCATCAGGCACCCCCAGAGGAAGGGAATGATGAACCACTTCTGAGTACTGTCTACGTAGAAAACCCTGGAAAGGGTCGCCACAACTCAAAAATAAGTCAATGGCACACAGTTATTTATCTGAAGTTGATTTACAAACTTCATGTTGTAAAATCAAAGTAACATTGCGGAAAGCAAGCTCATGACGTGGTGCATCTTTGCTCTCCCCCCGGCCCCCGCAGCACCTTGATAGCCCCTAAAACTGTTTCTCGAGCATGAGAGCCTATAGAACATTAGATTGTGCCTTCCTGTCTGCAGTGGGGCTGGAAAATCACTGCATTTGGAGACTTAGTGTTGCAATATTCCTCTGGATGATTTGGGGCAATTTCATCCTCTCACTATGTAGCCTGATAAGATCCAATTCACTATGTTCTCAAAGTGTACCCCCTGCCCTCTTTACAGCAAAGCACCCCTTTCCAGAAGTATGAGAGAGGCTATTCTTCTTCTTGGGAGATGGATGCTTGCTTTGTTAGAAGTATTGATAATCCTGTCATTTCAGACATTGAATGGGATGAAAGGGACACATGTGTGTGACTCTCATTCGGGTGAAGAAAACAACCTTTTCTAGCTGAAATCCTGTTGTGCATAACATTTAGAGGCAAGTTGCCATAAGTTAAGAAATCTCGGTAGACCTTACCTATTGCATGCCGAGTCTCACAATTCAGTATGTAGCAGATAATGTCTAGGGAGTGCTGTCCTCTGAAGATGCCGGCCACAGAGACTGGTGAAACGTTAAAAAGAACAACTTTCAGAACATGGTCAAAGAACCCGAAAAACCCACAATAACCAATGTCTAGGGAGATTTCTTAACTTACAGCGATTTGTATACAGAGATTATGCCACTTGCATTACTGCACAGCAGGCAAAATGCAGAAGTTCTGTTAAGGCTCCATTAATACCTAATGGGCCTAGGCATTTTAGCATTTAAGCTGTCTTCTTAAGCAGTATTTTTAGTTGCAAGATGGGGTGTAAATTTAATAAATTAAATTTGACGAGGTGCTGTCGGTTGATGAGTTCTATGTCAGCCGAAGGCATTTGATCGTTCTTCAAACTTGATGCCCTGGAAAAGCAATATAGAAGATTTTCAGTACAAAGTGCTAACTCTGGTGGGTGCTTAGATGTCCCTTGTGAAATAAAGCTTGCACTGAGCTACATAAAATGTTGACCTGCGAATGACTAATAAATGCTATAACTGATGCCACCACATCAGGATTTGATTGAGGGATCAAATGCCATTAAGTTTCAGTTAGCTTGATTTGTTCCATTACTGCAATCTACTTCTTGAAACCTTTCCCTGAAACCTTCGTCAAAATCCTAATAATTATTATTCCCTTTCTCCTTTCACCACCCGACCCCCAATCCCAAACCAGCAAGGTTAAGAAAAAGATCTCTCCCTTTGTGATGTCCTTTGGATTCAGGTAATATAGTATTATTATAAGATGACATCAGTGAAGCATGGGGAGGCAACTGTAAAACCAATTTACATTTTAGAACTGCATGTAGAAGTATCAATATTAAAATCTGGATTCACAAATTTGATTCACTCATTCTCCGATATGGATATCTTTTGAGTAGCTAAATGCACTGACCAAAATCCTGTTGCTAAGCATGAGCCAAATTCTAACTTCTGGTGCATTATTTCAGGGAAAAGAAATAGTCCCTGCTGTGACTCACGGGGAGTGTGTACACATGGTGGCTTCGGGTTTTAATGGATGTGGGTGTTCTGAGAATCACAGTGGGGATGCTTGTCTGCCACAGAGGAATGGATCAGAAGTTATTCTTTGGCTCATGCTGAGCAACAGGATTTTAAAATCAATGTATGCAACATTAAATACGTAAAGTACTGTACCACCATTCCTGATGGATGTAGTCTATATTGTATTTGTCTAACTCTGTATCCTCTGTTTCCTGGCTTTTGTGTGTGTGTGTGACTAGGTTTGTTTGTTTGGAAGCATATGCTTTCTAGGTCGTCTAACTGTACCCTCTGTTTCCTGGCTTTTTTTGTCCGTGTGACTATGTTTGTTTGGAAGCATATGCTTTCTAGGTGTATCTTAAGTTGTTATTTGAGATCCACAAAAATATTTGTTTTACAAAGTAGCCTAGTTCTGCAATGTAACTGAAAATAGGTTGGCATTCCATTCTGCCTGTTTTACACCTGGAGTGCTCAGTTGACAGAGCCCATTGACGACAGATTTCTGTACCATTTTTTCGTTGAAGAAACTGTGAAGTGGTTAACACAGTACCAAAACAGAGACCAATAAAGACACAACAATACAAAACACAAAGGATTTTTTAAGCATTATCTGGTTGGGAAAAATAAAAAGTACATTTGTAGCTTGACATCAAAGGTCTGTTTTCAGCACTTAAAACACTGAGACCTTTCATTGTATGGGTATACAGTACTGTATATATACTTACAATGACAATAAATAAAAAAAATAAAAATAAAATCTGAGGTACAATAGAGGGGTGGTCATTTCACAGAATGGGCCCCCCGACATACAGTAGGTAGTCCACCCCTGTGATACTATCTAATGGAAATCTGGAAGTCACAGTTAAATTTGCTTAACATATTTTTCTGTTCTTCTGGACTACTTAAAACTGTCCATGGAGCCCCAGATGTTGGACTACAAATCCTAGTTGAATCCTACAGTGCTAGTTGAAGATGATAGCAGTTGTAGCATAAAATATGGGGAGTTAAGGTTGGAAAGGCTGTTGTGAAATAACGTCTATTTTGTAATAATCAAAAACAAAAGTAGATGTTTCCTTGTCATACTTTTTTTGGGGAGAGGTACTTCTCCCCTTCCCTCTTCCTTTTGCAGACTCTTCGGTGTAGTGCTTATTTTTGTGGACCTTGTACTTGTGGTTCTGTCTCTGTTGGTGGATGACAAATACCCTTCTCTGGAACGCACCATTGGGAACATCTCTCTGGCTATTGCACTCTTCTTCTTCCTGGATGTCCTCCTGCGAGTGTTTGTTGAAGGGTAAGAGTGTAAAAGTCCCGCTGAAGCACTTGTTTTGACTGCTGCAGACATTTTTTGTGGAGTAAGTAGATTTGGCTCTGGTACAGGCCAGTCATTGAAAACTTTAGCAGAAAAATAATAATAACCATGCCTGAATCCTTAACAAGTGTGAAATAATGATGACTGAAGTGTTTTTAAATTTCCTGTCGGACACAGGAAAAATGTGAGACCGGCAACAAAACAGGTCACAGCAGCCATGCTGTATTTCAAGATACCCAGCCAGGGATCCATGACAACTGAGTACCTATTAGAGTACACATGATGTTTGGCCCTGCAGAGATTGCAATATGGAGTGTTTTATTTATTTTATTTATTTTATTATTTATTGTATTTATACCCCGCCTATCTAGTCATTTCGACCACTCGAGGCGGCTTACAACATAAAGCATAACAAGTTCAAGAAAAATTTATAACAAATTAATTAATTAAATGATTCTGTAAGATGGGAAAAATACAAAATAAATCAAATAAAGAGAGAGAAAAAGGAAAGAGCACAGGAATTAATTGGAAGGGAAGGCCTGCCTATACATCCACGTTTTTAGTTGGTTCTTAAAAGTACCCAGCGAGGGTGCAGCGCGAATCTCCGGAGGTAGGTTATTCCAGAGGCGAGAAGCCACCGCCGAGAAGGCCCGGTTTCTAGTTCTTTCCTTCTGGGCCTCCCTCAGCGTCAGGCTCCTCAGCCTCACCTGGCTCGTGTGGGTGACACGGGTAGAACTAGTTGGGAGTAAGCGTTCCGCCAAGTATCGAGGTCCTAAACCGTTTAGGGTTTTTAACATGTGGTTCCATCCATCTCTACCACCTGTCCCCCCTACCCAACCAAAAGTCAGTTACCCTTCTGTGATCACCAAAATTCTTCCATTTTGGGTTGTCTGTTTGGTGAGTGGTCAAATGCCTCCCATTCCAGCTAATCTATTGGATTCCCCCCCCCCCCCCTGTCCTTGTGAAATTTCCCATTTTAAAATAGTTTCTTACTGTGAACCAGTGAGTGACCTGTTTGACCAATAAGCTCATCTGTTTTCCTTTTGTATTCCTGTGTCTGTCTCTGTCCTCTTTCTCCAGCCAGTCCCTTCCATCACCCGTGGCACCAGATTGTTGGTTCTCCCATTGCCTGACACCATTCTGTGCCAGGTTGTGACTGGCCTCTCCCCAGGCTGCATCATGGGTGGTATGGCTGCTTATGGCAACGAGGCTCTTCTAGCGAATAGACTCAAACTCTCACTTGCCCTAAATTTGTATATCCCTGGATCCAACTTGTAGTAAGATTCTGGAATGGCTCTTGGTTAGGTCTTGCATCAGCATGGATTTCTGTTTTAAAACAATGTGTTCCATGTACAGTCCTTATTTATTTATTTATTTTATTTATTTATTTATTATTAGATTTTTATCCCGCCCTTCTAGACTGCGTCTACTCAGGGCAGCTCACATCGAAATCATACATAAAAACAGTTAAAACAATAATTTAAATTGACAATATTAATATTAATCAAGATGGAAAAGTAAACAAAAGGCCAAGCAGAAAGTAAAAGTCAAGTATTGACAGGAGGGAAGGCCTGCCTAAAGAGCCAAGTCTTTAATTGACTCTTAAAGACACCAAGTGAGCATGCCAGGCAGATCTCTGACAGAAAGCTGTTCCAAAGTTGAGGGGCCACTGCTGAGAAGACCCATTATGCAGTATGATATTTGTGCGAAACCTTTTTTTTTAAAATGGTATTAATCTTTCAAAAGCATCTTGCTATGATTTGTCATCCTACCTGGCCATGTCAAAACAAGCTGCTGCAGCAAAATAATTGGTGCTTGTTAGCTTTTCTGTTACTCTTCTTTTGTATTTCAGCTTCCGAAAGTACTTTGAGTCCAGCCTAAATATTCTAGATGCTATCATTATTGTGGGCACACTTTCGATCAATATTGTGTATGCCTTTTCTAATCTGAGTGGACTAAGCCAGATTCCAAGGTAAAGAGAATGGTGTTTTCTTCTTCCCCTTGTTGAGGATTTATGGTTCTCTTCTTTAAGTGGAAACCTGGAGTGGACATGTACAATGAAAACAGGTGCATGGAGAATCTGGCTTCAGAAATGACTGACATTGAGTGGTGGTCCTAACAGAGAAGTGGGAAACATCTGGTTTGTTGATCTTAAGCTTAGCTCCAGTCCTCATCAGTGCAGAGTTCTTCCCTTGCTCCAGACCATGTCCCAATCCAGTTTACAGTATTAATAAAACTCATTGGCTGAAATCCTGTCCATCATTTACATGATGTAAGGCTGATGACATCATCCGCAGTGGCAGTTTTTTGAAAAATAGAAACATTTTTTGAGTAATAGAAACATCATCCCCTTCCCTTGAAGCTCCCAAAGCTCCCATGGAATCCTTTTCATCACCAGGAAGCCATTGGAGGCCACAGGACAGGGGGAGGAAGTCTTTAATTTCAAAAAATTGTCACTGCTGGTAAAAACTCCCACCCCGTCCTGCGGCCCCGAGCGGCTTCCCCATTATGAAACAGATTCCATTGGAGTCTTGGGATTTTGGGGCCAGTATCAGAAATATTTAATTTTTAAAATACCACAGTGGCTGATGATGTTGTCAGTCTTATGTGGCATAAGTTACAGAACAGGATTTCAGCCGTACTGTCCTGCTCTGCCCCCTAGCTAGGGAGCTTAGTAGAAGCAATCTTGCATAAATGTGGAACAGGAGGTCAGACTTAATTTAAACAACAACAAAATGAACAAAAGAGAGAGATACAATTGTTCTTACTGCACCTCAACCACTTCAGTGTGGAATCCTGACAGATTTTGGCTGTAGGAATGTTAACCTCAACAGGCAGGTCTTTCACCCTTGCGTACTAATGTAAGGTTCTATCATCAGAGAGCAACTTTTAGAATGCACCTGGCCTATAGGCCTTTTAAAGACTTTACCTCTTAATTTGTTTCAAATTCTTGATATTAATGTTACGAAAATATTTTCCCACTTGCTCTATAGTGCTAATGCTCCCACATAGTATGCTCTGTTTTCTATTGGGCGGAAACATGCTTAATAACTATTTTCTGCATCCTGTTGCTCGGTGGTGTAAATTGCATCTACAGTAGACCCAGCAAATCTGTGGGGACTTAGTCAGTCAGCTCCTCCTCAGGTTCCATGGATCCAGTGGACCTACTGTAGTTGGGACTTATTGCACAAAACAACACAATTTCAGCCAGTATCTGCCTATGCAGAATGAGAAAGCATTTCTGTTTTTCTAAGAGATGGAAAATTATATTCTTATAGCTTGTAAGAAATGGTGGAGAAAGAAAGAGAAACGTTTATACCTGTAATTCTAATGTACGCATACTCTGCCATCTACAATATAGTAGAATTGGGTAAAGGGCAAACCTCAGAGGTTAGGTTGCCAAAAAATCCATTCCAAAACCTGTGTGGGTTGTCCACTGAGACCAAATCATGCATCCATAGACACCTCTCTCTCATAATACTCATTGAACAAGGACATGTGTCAGAAATGACAACCTAAATTACAGCCTTATGCCAGTGCTTCATAATATTCTCATTTTGTGTGTATGTGTGTTGATCAGAACAGTGATTATGTTCCGAATCCTGAGGATTGTAATTCTGATAAGAGTATTTCGATTGGCTTCTGAAAAGGAACGTCTTGAAAAAGTAACACGGAGAATGGTGAGTGAATTGAGGCCTTGATAGCTCATGTGCCTAGACTGTGGAATGTCCTCTTTGAGGAAGCTCATAAAGCTGCGCTTCCTGCCTGCCAGTGCATGCCTTTGTATATGCTGACTGCAAGATATGGTTTTGACTTAACAGTGTAAGCCGAAGCAACATTTTAGCTTACAGTATAGTTTTCATATTGTAATACTTGCAGTATAAAAGTAGTATAAAATACAATATAAGAAGTACTCAGATCTGTTAGATGATTTAAGACCCACCATTTCAGATCTTTTTCAAACCTTGGGTGTCTTTTGGCATTCAGATTTTCTTTCAGATTTTCATGCCATTCATAATAACTGGAAGTTTTGCTGCTGACACTTTACCTCTGTCACTCTAAAACTGTTAAAATTAATTCTCAAACTATAGTACTTATCCTACAGTTTTTCCAAGATTAGAATTTTATCATGTACTCACTCTGCCTCTCTCGCAGAGTTAGACTGAGACAATAGCCAAAACCCTGTTGTATAGTGTAGTAAATTACACTAGAGTAGGTTGATTGAATCCAGTAATTTGCAGTTAGAGCAAACCCATTTGAATCACTGGAAGTTGCAAAGGAGTTGACTCACTAAATTACCATTGATTCAATGGGCTTGCTGTTATGAGATTTACTACACTAAGCAACAGAATTTTGGTCTCTCTATGTGTGTCTCCAGATGTCATAGTCTGCCATTTGTGACTGTTCAGTTTTCCTGCCTTTGCTTCTGTCTTTTCTCTTTCCACAAAGCATTGTTATATAATTGGTTGCATATTTACATGACTTTTAAATATCCATTTTGATGCCTTTGTATCAAAAGGCACCTCTTGTACAGTATTTCAAACAGATTTTCCTGTTTTAGTTGTGCTACTCTTTTCTTAATATATCTTAGTCCTTTAGAAGCATCTAAACTCATGGATGCGTAGAAGTCGGCAAGACAAACAGTCTGGTATGTGGGTTTATTTGCTATGCGCAACTAGCTGTTTTTCCCCTGTGTCATCATTTATCTGTTTCTTTGTGCTATATTTGTCTCTTCCCCCTGCCCCCCAAAATATGGCCAAAGATAAAAACCCAATTTTTTTTTTAAAGATCAATGTAAGCTAGGGGACAGACCTTAAATTTGCATGGGAAAGTGTGTTTTGTGCCCAACACTGCTCAGGTTTGTGCTACTCAATGTTCTCTGCATACAGATGGTCTCCAGTTTAATCTCATTTCCAAGCAAATCTGGAGACACTATCCCTTACTGTTGACAAAATAGGCTGGACCAGTCAATAGGCTAATGTAAAGTAGCTTCTTGTGTTCACAAAGAGTATTGGAAATGTATTCTCAAAGTATTGGAAATGATTCTAAGGACATGTCTGTTACACGTATTTTAATCTGAGCAAATGCATGATCTCCTAGTACTTTTATAGTTTGTATCTTGTTTGGGACTGGTATGTTCCTAATATATCCCCCTTCAAATTTTCTGGTGTGTGTTTGTTTGGCAGGTGTCAGAAAATAAAAGGCGCTACACGAAAGATGGTTTTGACTTGGATCTCACTTATGTCACTGGTCTGTATGCCTTATTAAGAGAGAGAAATTTGTCGTCATTATGCAATTATTATAAACTGGTGTGAGAGTTTGCAGAAATCTAGGTATCCAATAACTGTGAAAGAAAAAATGTGTGTGATTACAAGACAGTCTCATTTGTTCTTTTCCCATCATGTGCTCCCTGCTAACCAGGAAGATGTGACAATGCATGCATTTATCCATTGCTTTTCTGTTGAAAGTGAATGAATACTAAGGCAGATCTTGCCAGTTGTCTTGAGCAGTTAAAGTCTAACCACATAGAGGAGGAAGGCCAAAGCCATAAGAGCATGTAATGAAAGCGTTGCATTGCCAAGCCTGTTTTCCTTCCGTTCATTCTGCACGATTGAACTAGTGTGCTGTTTAAAATGTTGTTTTAATCATCATCACATGTATTTGTGCAAATAGATAAAGGTGTGCCCTTAAGTGGAGGAGAAACATGTCTGACAGATTCTTGCCTCTTTCTTGTGTGGCCCAGAAAACTGGTTGCTTGGTAGCGTTTAGCACTAACTTGCAATTTCAGTTTTCACCTTTTGTACTCCTGACTGCTTTAAATCACTCATTAATCCAGTTTTTTAAAAAAAGAAGAAACACTTTTGCCATATTTGGATGCACAGATTGCTGAGCACGATTTCCTAGAAAGCCATGGTTATGTTTGAGGACATGTGAACAAATGCAAAACCACACTTGTACAAGATTGTGTTAGTTGGGATGTGAAACTGGAATAAGACCAAAGAGAGGATTCCATAATGTCTTCAGGGCCACATTGTAGTTTATGTTGTTCTTCCCTATCCCAAATGTGCCTTCAATGTCCACTTAAAAACACTTGCCACGAAACTCGCGCCTAAATAAAGTTGCATTTGACTCTCACTCTCTTTGCTCTTTCAAGAGCTCAGGGCAGTGGTCAGTAGCCCTGCTGGCTGAGGGGATTCTGGGAGTTTCAGTTTAAAAGTAATTTTAGTAAGCTCTGAACCATCATATGCCAGTTCTGTAAGAATCATAAGATTAAGCTGAGAGTGCTATGATTTTCACAAATAGAGTTCTTCAACCTACTTCACCCTGGCCAAAACCCTTCAGTGTTATCACACTGACCACGTCCAATGCCGTAATCGGATCTGTAATCAAAAATTTGGCAAGTCTTACTGTTTTTTGGCAGTTAAAACACCTGATGTCACAGGCAGACCTAGTGAGGTTGCACACAGTCAAGCTGTTCCAGCAGGGATTTGAGGGACGCGGTCTTTATGGGTCTTTAAGAAGGCATCGAAAACATATTTGCTAGTTCATTTTCATAATGTTAAAAACTTTACTTGGGCTATGATAGTTGCTGGGATGTCTTAGCTCTGCTTATGCTCACAAATGTCACATGGGATCAATAGTTGTTGGGATGTCTTTGCTTATGCTCACAAATGTCACATGGGATCTCTGTGTGCTAAGGGATGTGCTCTTTCCAATTTTGTTGTGCTTATTACAACTTTTGCTGTTTTTCTCAGCTCGTGTTATAGCAATGTCATTTCCATCATCGGGACAGCAGGCTTTCTACAGGAATCCTATAAAGGTAACCCAGACTTGGAATGATTGTGCAGATAGATTGTGACATTTTTCTGGATCTTTCTTCCTTCTTTTCTTTGCTTTGTGCCACCCTCTCAAACCACTGCAGATTTTGGCTAATACGTAGCTGGTACGATGCTGGCAGGCAGTAGGATAGCAAAGGGATCTTTCTTGCTCAGGCTTTGTGGCAAAGTGAAAGTTAGAAAGGTTATTATTTATAGGTTGTTTGACCTCTAACTTTAAAAAATATATCCTTAGCTGTGAATCTTCACCGTATGAATGTTACATTTCACCCACTCAGTGAGTTTAGTGAACTAATCACCTAATGAACTAGTCATCTAACTTATGGGAAAGGTCTGAGATTCAGATCTTGTTTGAAATACCTTATTTAAAATATAAAGGCAACAACACCTAATGCTTCTGGCCTTCTTTAAGCAAATCCTCTAAATATCTTGCTTTGTTCTTCTAGGAAGTAGCAAAGTTCTTGGATACAAAACATGGAGACCACTACAAAGTCTACAATCTGTGCAGTAAGTTTCTTCCATTTTACAGTTTAAACATCTATATCCAGGACACATTTATTTTTCAAAATTAAATTGCACTGTTTATATCTGAGCTTATCCAGTAACAACCCTAATTCACCTGTGTGACTTTTCACATTGTTAAAAACCTTTTAAAGAAAATGCCCATTGGACTTTTTTCCACCTCATTGGAAGTTGGGCTCCACTTCATGTCTCATTCGTTCAGCCACGAATGGCTGAACGAATGAGGTCCCTGGTCCCTGGGAGCCTGAGTTTGGCTAAAAAGGTAAAGGTAAAGGTTCCCCTTGAAAATTTGTCTAGTCGTGTCCGGCTCTAGGCAGGCGCTGCTCATCTCTGTTTCCAACCCATAGAGCTAGCGTTTGTCCGAAGACAATCTTCCGTGGTCACGTGGCCAGCGCGACTAGACATGGAACACCATTACCTTCCCACCGTGGTGGTACCTATTTATCTACTAGCATTTTGCATGCTTCAGAACCGCTAGGTTGGCAGGAGCTGGGACAAGCTCCGGGGGCTCACTTCATTGCATGGAGTCGATCTTACAATTGCAGGTCTTCTGACCTTGCAGCACAGAGACTTCTGCTGTTTAACCCGCAGCACCTCCACGTCCCTTGTTGAGTTTGGCTAGAGTCAGATAAAAATTCTTCAGGGTGGAGGATAGGTTGAAAGTTTTACACCACCGATTCCAGACTTGGTGCTAACTCTCCCCCGTTCTATTCCCCCCTGCCCCCACTTAGGGCCAGCAGTCCATGCTTAAGTAGTAGCCCCTCGTGGTGATACACCCCTTGGCCTGACTAGGCAATTATACAAGCACTTCCTGCAAAGGACTCGAGGGGCTTCCATTTTAATTTCACACATTGCTGAAGAGCACTTGATCTCATGCCCCTCTGAGGTATCGTGGGAAATTAAAATGAAAATCTAGTTCTTTTAGACACATTTTGCATTACACCCCAGTGGTGGCTTGGGTTGTAATGCAGTCTTCCTCAACTTGGTGGCCACTGGATGTGGTGGACTCCAGCAACCATCATCCCTTGTCAAGATAGCTTCTGGTCAAATAGATTATTGTTTGAGCAAAATACTGATACTGAGCCTTCCCAATAGAATTTTGGAGTCTTTAAATATTTAATATTTTTCTCATCTTTTCCCCTGCAGGTGAACAGGGCTATGACCCCATGTTTTTCCATTACAGGGTGGAGCGGATATTTATTGATGACCATAATGTTCCTACTCTAGAGTAGGTATCTTGCAGAAATGGACCTGTGTGTATTCTACAAAAGGCAGACCTGGTAGTTGAATATCAGATCCTAGAAGCCCAAGATAGCTTTTCTAGTGCTCAGAGCTTCTGGGATTAAGATCCATAAATGTGGGGAATCTTAGTTTGGGGGGACACCCATGAACCATATGTAATGAGAAGGAAGGCCTGATGAGTGAGTATGAGTATGTTTTCTTCAAATTCTGAGTCCTCTCTATGATCAGGGTGCCCAACCCTAGAGAGGACTTGTAAGGACATTGAGCTACTCATGCTTATAATGTGGGGAGGATTGGAGGAGGGATGTGTGAGAGATACGGTACATTTTTATGAAAACTCTTGAATAAGGCTAGCCTCTTGTGACCTTACAGCTCTGTCACAGAGAATGTATTTTAGTTTTCCTGGAGCAAGACATTGAAAGATGCATAAAGAGGGTATTTCTTTTTTTCACTTAAGGGAGATGCTCAAGTTTACTGCTAGCGTACGGAAATGGATGGAACAAGATGAGAAAAATGTCATAGCAATACATTGCAAAGGAGGGAAGGGTAAGCATATTTGTTTTACGTGGCACAGGGCAGAATGGAAGTTGTGTGAACATGCATTCTGGTTTATCATTCAATTATTTGCTTTCGTCTGTGTTTTTTACTCTACCCCCCCTCAAAAAAAGGAGAGAAAAAAAGGACCTTGTCTTTAAGTACAACTGGGTAGATCCTTTTAGTTTTCCAGTATTATATTATCACCATGGCCTCCATGAAAGGGGAGTTAGAGGCAAACAACAACAACAAAACAACCCACCAGTAAATAATTGGAGCATAGGACTTGGTGGCCATTTTTCCTGGTTCTCAACAATTATCACATTAGACTCTTTTTCATACACACACTATTTTGTCTGTCTGCAAGGACCTGATATGAACTTGCCCTTTGACAGTTGTAGATTAAATATCTCAAGGGTGGTTATTTTTTACTGTTTGTAAGTCGCTCTGATTTCATTTTCAAGCGAGGAAAGCATTAAACTTTTGACACTTACTTGTGTATCCTTGAACTCAGCATTGGAAAGTGGGGGCTGCTAATCACTTATTTTTCTCTATAAATATGAAAACTTGAGCTACTCTCCTAGCCATTTGGTGTTTGCCTGGTGTGGAATTGAGGACACTCTTGGTAAAATGCATGCCACCAGAGCCATTCCAATGCAGGTTGTTGATCTCTTGTAAGGCAGAGGAGAAAAGCCATTAAGAGAGTTTCCATGTGTCCATTGTTTAGATTTTCTCAATGGAGGGAGGACTTTTCCAAGAATCTTCTTCTGTCACATAGTAAAGGGCTGCTATTGTATAAGAAGTCTGTCAGATGGGGTCTTGAACTAAGCTTGGGTTCCTATCAGCTGGAGTGCTGATAATTGTGCTTTCTGGCAGTGTACAAACTATGTTTTATTAGTAGCATTTTATTGTTTGTATTCAAATGAGAGTTTTGGTGGCTTGTAAAGGAAATATAAATAGATAAATGTGTTTGTTTGTCCCCCCTGCCTCCATGCAGTGCAATAGTTGAATCTCCTTTTGTAAATGTAAGAAGGATTTGAGTTCATTTCTTTTGAAAATAACAGGTCCACCCTCAGGACAAGGGCAAAAAGTCCCCAATAATTAAAGTAGCTGAGATGTAAGGTGGAACTTCTGTGTGTCTTCATGGTTAGTAGAGTTGCAAGCTGGGCCATAAGCAGAGCAGGATCACAGGATTTTCAGTTTTGCTGGGAGGCAGGGGAACACAGATGAAGGCAAGCAATCTTATGGTTCCATTCTTCGGTGTAGCTGGGGTCTGACTACAGTGCCTCTTTTCTTTAAGTCTTCAATTTTCCATTTTTGATGCAGGTCGAACCGGGACGATGATTTGCACCTGGCTTATTCACAGCAGCCAGTTTCAGAGTGCCCAGGTAGAGAAAGTGCTGATATTGGTGATCCTCATCTTATGTCTAAGAGAATGGAAGCACTTATTTATTTATTTATTTATTTGTTTGTTTATTTATTTGTTTGTTTGTTTGCTTATTTATTTATTTATTTATTATGTTTTTATATAGTCTACTCTGGGCGGCTCACAACATATACAACATATACAATTTAAAATATACACAATTATTACATAGGTAAAAACAAAGCAATATAAAATATAAATCAAGTTTACAGTTTTAACAATTAATTAATTTAAAGTAGGTTCTGAACTTAGGTTCTGAACTGTGTAGTTTAGCTCTGTTATAGCTGGAGCCTGGCCCAAGGTGCACGTGATGCTGCCACCAACAGTACCCAGTGTTAAGATTGGAGAGACACTCTCTGAGTATAATTGGGCTGAACCATACACAAGAGTCCCCTGTGCCACCTGATGGAAATTTCTTTCTGTGGCCAGCTTCTGTCTGGCCACCGCCCTATGCTTGATCTCTTTACATGCTGTATATGATGGAATCCTTTGTTGTTCAGGCATTATATCCGGTGCTGGCCCTTCTATTCATAGAGGGCATTTTGGTTCTACTGCAGGTTGTCATAAACATAAAGGTGATTACTTTTGTCAGTTTCCCTCCTCCCCCCCTCCCATACTGCCTACCATATCTGCTTTGGAGTGTTGGGGAAAGGTCCCAGCAATACGAAACAGAATGGAAAGTGCTTTGTGGTTCAAGGGGAGTAAGGAAGAGGGAGCGGATGTATCCCCAACTAAATTTAGCAAACCTTCAGATTGATCAGAAAGTCTGTTGTGAACAAAACAGTATCATCAGAAAAAGGGAAGTGTATTGCTCCTCTGTTTTGACTGAAAGAGAAGTTTTCTGTGGCTTCGGTCATGATTCTCCGTACAGAACAGAGTTGACCTAGATGAAAGAGGACATTTTCAGCTCTCCGTTAATTTTTCAGTCTCTGGAAAATCTGTTCTTGGGGGGCCTGTCAAGAGTGGTGTGGAACAAGGAGGTGCAGGTTGAGTGGGAGAAATTGGTGGTATTCTCCCCTTCCTCACATGAACAGAGGAGCCTCCAAATCTATATCTCTAAAAGAGCACAATATATTCAACTGTAGAATAGTGAAAGGGCTGCCTGGGTAGCTTATGGAGTTGGGTATTTTGGCAGGAAACCAGAGGGTGGGAGTTCAATTCCCTACCGAGTCTCCCAGGGAAAGAGCCGGCTTGAGTACCCTTGCGCAAAAGCTGCACAGTCCCAGAGCACCTGCAGAAGAAGGGGAATGGCAAAGCACTTCTGAGTATCCTCCACATGGAAAACCCGGGATGAACTTGACGGGATAGAATTGTTAGAGTGGTAAAACCAAACACTTCAGATTACTGTAACTCTTAAAATGTCGTGACACACTCTTGTCTTTAGGAAAGTTTGAACTACTTTGGTGAACGAAGAACTGATACAAGTACAAGCTCCAAGTTCCAGGGTGTTGAAACTCCATCCCAGGTAAGAGTATTTTCTGAAGCCTCAAAACAAGGCACCAACAACCAGTATTGTAACAAGGCATTCATGCAGTGAGTAGACGGTCACAATTTAGCTCCAGGGTCAGCCATTTCCCCCCCTGGGCAATCCTCCTATCCCCTTTCAGTTCTGGATGCCTGGAATAACTGACTGCGTTAAATGGTTGGGGAAACAACATGTCACACCTCTTAGGTCTGGGCAAGTTTTGAGAAAGCAAGGCTGAAATGGTATCTGAGGCTTCCCTTCTCCTCCAGCCAAAGAGTGGAAGATGGTCTGCTGCTTTGCCTTAGGCCCTGGACTCTGTAGAGTTAGAAAAATACGGTATTGTAGCTTTCATAAAAAGCTGGAAATCAGTAATTGTAAGCTTTATTTACAGAGCAGATACGTTGGGTATTATGCAACCCTGAAATTCAAGTACAACCTGAACCTCCCACCAGTGAGACCGCTCAGAATCAAAAGCATAAAGCTCTATGCTATCCATGGTAAGTGCTGCTAAAACACTGCAGGATCTGTGATAGTATTTCCTGTACTGCTTTCTTTTGTCTGCAGTAATCTGGATTTACTATTAAAAGAATTTGCAGCAAATACCTGAATTCCAGGACCAGATGCTAGTGACTGCCTCTCTTTTTAGGGGTTGGGAAAGGCAACGGAAGTGATTTGAGAGTGAAGATAATCATGGAAAAGAAAGTGATTTTTCACTGCATTTGTGCAACCCAAGAGAACTGCAAGGTAAGGGATGTCTGGATTAATCCAAGGGACCTGTCATCGTGATTACCAGGATTCTATCCCTGGTTTTGACCCGGTCACTCCAGAGGACTGTTTTTGGGGCTCCTAGATTTATGTGTAAACAAAACAAAATACATTTCAGATACATTCAGACCACCTTGCAGTATATAGGTCCCGTCACATATATTGCGAAGCAGTCTGAATGTATTCCTGATTTGAGTGAATCTCGTGTGTAGCCTCTTAACAGCAATGGACGCAGTAACCCGCAAGTAGGAAAACGATTGCCAAAACTGTAGGACTTGCTATGAGTGTAGCTACCACAAGGAAATGTAGGCTGCCTTTGATATGACGTATCTAATTAATGACCCTGAACTCACATAAACCAGAAAGGGTTTTGTGGCGCCTCAAAGATGAACAGGATTAACTTGGCAAGTGCTTTCGTGTGCTACCGCCTGCTTCTCTGGGCGCATCCAGTATGCTCTTTGTTGTTTCTGCTGTATCAGGCTACCATGGCCTTCCTGTGGAAATTGCTACATGATGCGGTTCCTTCTGGTCCAGTACCCGACAGCTGTTTTGGATCACAGTCCCCATAAATGCTCATAATTGGCCTAACTCACCAGTTCACATTACTTAAACAACCACACTCCCAAAATGACTTTTTTCAACAAGTGGTTTCCTTTTATTTATTATGTTAATATGATTGACAAGATTTATTTCTCAGCTGCCTCCCTTGTCAGTCTTTGGTGTGATATTATAATCTGATGCAGATTGCAATAGTGTGCAAGTGCTGTATCAGATTACATACCTGGTGAAAGTCTTGTACTATTATAGTACAGTGGTGCCTCGCTTAACAGGCGCTCCGTTTAGCGATGAAATTGCTTAGCAATGACTTTTTCGGAGCGTTTTTGCGCTTAGTTTAGCGATGGTCCCTGTGGGCGAATTTCGCTTAGCAATGGTTGGGACCATGCTTCGCATAGTGATTAAATTTTGGGTCCCTTGTTTCGCTTAACGATGGTTTAAACAGCCTCATGTTTGCTGTTTTTAAAATGTTTTTCTGTTATTGATAAAGTTAAACTTTACTGTTTAAAATGTTTGAAATAAAGTGCACTTAATAACCCCTTTGTTAACCAAATTTGACTTTGTTCTGACTCTTTTTGAATTTGTTGTTGTATTTTTCCCCCCCATTGGGATGCATTGAATAGGTTTCAATGCATTTCAATTGGGGAACCGCGTTTCGCTTAGCGATGTTTCCTATGGCGATTTTTGCTTAAGGACAGCAATTCATTCCTATTGGAACGGATTATCCGGTTTTCAATGCATTTCAATGGGAAACCGTGTTTCGCTTAGCGATGAAATCGCTTAGCAGTGATTTTTTCGGAATGAATTAACATCGCTAAGCGAGGCACCACTGTATTCTTGTTTCTATGTTCTTTCAATAATGTTGGGGAAAAAGGAAATATGTATATCCACACTGGGGAAATCCTTTTCCTGAAAGGTATTATGTTTAAAAGCATGGTTAGAAGAAGGCTCACAGAAGTTTGTGTTTAAGTCTGCGTTAAACACAAGAACACTGTGTTCTGCCTTAGAAGGATTGTGCCTTAGAACTGTGCGCACCAGCTTTGTTCCCATAAGTAGTAATAGATTAACATCATCCTGTGAAGCAATTTGAAGATAAACCAATGTGCCTTTTTCTGGGGCAAAGGAATGTTCAGGTCCTGAGAGAATTAAACTCCTGAAGGGCATACTAAGCTTGTGGTATCCATAAAATGGGCAATGATTACCGAAAGCGCCAACAGACCTGTTAGCAGTGCATACTTTTATCTTAACTTGGACTGCTAACTCAATGGAAGCCCATGGTATAATGATTTCCAGTTCCCAGCCTCTCTCTTTGCATGACACTGGATCATGTTACTGATTTGTGTGCCTGCAAAAGGCCATGGAAGTAGAGTTATTCAGTGGTGGTGGAAAGTCAGTCAGAAATCAACCTAGTTGTTTACATGCATGTATGAACTGGTGAATTGGACTCTTCCATGCCAAATGGTTTAACATCGCAATGGTTTCAATGAGTGACACTTGACAGGTCATTGTAGTTCATCTAATGAGTCCTGGCTATGTGTTTAGCACCAAGAATATTTGATGAGAGTAAGATGCCCATCTTCTTCCTTCCAGCTGTTCTTTGATGGGGAAAATGACTGGGTCGTGATTGGTTTTGAAAACTGTCCTATCGTTAGGAATGATGTGAAAGTCAGATTTGAAACTTCTTCTGTAAGTAAGAATCTGTGGATCATTTGCATTCCTCTCCTATGTGTCACTTTGTGCTGAAGCACAATAACTCGGACCCAAATACATGGGCTGAAATCTTCTTGGTGCTTAGTATAGTAATCTACACTAGAGTATGTCTGTTGAGTCAGTTGTACTTATGGGAGGAAAAGGCTCATTATATCCCCACTGATTTAATGAGCCTGCTTAGTGCAGCTTACTATGCTAAGCAATAGGCTTTCAGCCATAGCTAAATGAACAGTTCTATTGAGTTGTAAGAGCAGGTGGATTTAAACGTTTTTTAACTTGTCCGTCAACCCCCATGAGATTTGCAGATTCAGAACATCAGTGAAGAAAGCCCTTAGAAAGCAAAGAAGATGTGAATCAGCAAAGCTGTTTTGTTCCTAGTTTATTTCATCTAGACAGGTTGCATTACTTTAACATTGTAAAAAGAAAATGAGGAATATATTATACTGATGCAAACAAGTAATGGGCAAACAGACAAAACACCAGACATGATAAAAAAAAACGTTTTAAAGCCTAAAATGTTACAACCAAGTCTTAGGCTAAAACAAATTATTGCAAGCTGAATCATAAGTGAAATTATTACAGCATGAATCATGTGTCTCACTTTAGATGCATGGAATATTATTCAGAATTTGAGAGGTATATAATTATATCATTGTATTATATTATTATATATTTACATTACTAACTTTGTCATGAATATTGTTCATGTGTTAATTTCCCCCTAGTCTCTGTATGCAGTTCTACTCCAAACCATGTGTATAGAGTAGTGTGTCCATGGGTTGGGGGTGTAGGTTGTTGTGTATTTCGAGCATAGGTAGACGAAGGGGGAACAGAGGGTTGGAGAGGGAGGCTGACTGGGATGGAGAAAGCTCTGAAACGGTGGACAACATTTCCTGCATTTGACGAGTTGGACTGTAGTCCCAGAAAGTGCACATTCTAATGACTCCTTAAAATACGGTAGAGGGATCTTTGTTTTTGTAGCTACAGACTAAGAGGGCTGCTCCTCTGGAAACAGAATGAGAGAGGCCAACTAAATCGGCCGTGGCCATGAGAATGAGCTGGGAATGAAAGCCATCTTGGGTATGAAGCTCGCCTCTGCTGTGACGAAGGCACATTCAAATAATGTGCAGTCCTGACTTGACTTATCCTGTAAAGTTGTTCCGAAGATTTACAGCTAGGTCGTACACATGAAGCACCTTGAAAATGCAGTAGGAGTGTTTAATGACATTTAATCAATCGTCTTTTCAAAATATAGGATATTCCAAAGGGCTACGATGACTGTCCTTTCTTTTTTTGGTTCCACACTGCCTTCATTGAGGACAACAGGTAAGTTGCAATGCTGTTTGTTTCTTTCCCCCCTTCACGGGAAGATAACATGTCCTTCAGCTGTGATTTGGCTTGAGAATCAGAGGGTGATAGATTTGATCCTTTGTGCTCAAGATAAATCACCACCTCAAGGAGCAAATACTGCTTTCTTCCTGAGGGGTGGGGCGGGATTGTCAACATTTTTGCGGGTGGTCAACAAATGCCTCCTCATATCTCTGCTCACCATGTGGAGACGTCAGGCTGGCATCCAACTTCTTCAAGCAGTGGAGATGAGCATCCTTGCTCATCAGTCCCAAGGCATATCTAACTACTGAACAGCCTGATAGGTCATATAGCTACAGAGAGGAATTATCAGAGGATGTGGTTATCTGCTGAAAAAATGGGCAAAGGGCAATAGAACATGCACTCCAGGCTGAACCCTGCTTTGCATTCAGACTATTCCCAACTGCACTTCATTTCTTACTTTATGACTCAAGACTATCCATATGCTTTCTTTTCCATAGTGCTGTTCCTTCATCTTGTGTGATAACAGTGACAATGCTAAGTTAGCTTAACTCATATACCGTATGACCTTTTGGCCTAAACCCAATGGTCAATCTTACAGCAATGTGTGCTGCTTACTTAAAACACTCTCTGGGTGCTTTATAACTATGTAGGCTATACATTCTTCCCCCACCCCCAAACTGGGTACTCAGTGTACCAATATCAGAAGGATGGAAGGCTGAATCAACTTCAAGCTTAGGATTGAACTCGGATTGTGAACAGAGTCTTCACTGCAGTACTGCAGTTTAGCCACTGTGCCACACACTTTTGAAAATGTAGAATCTTCAGGACATTTTTTTAGGCTGTAACTTCCCCAGTCACTTCAGGACTATTCCTGCAACAGGTTATCAAAAACTCTTTACTTAATTGCAGTAAATTAAGTAACATGTAAGAAATCCTGCTTTTTTACATGTTCCACATTTCTCCAGTGCTTTCCTACCACCCCTTAAGCTATATCTATATGTATCTTTGTTAGCTATGAAAGATATGGTGGGTCTGCAACTAAACACCATGATGTGGAGTATTCCTGCTGAGGGTTGTAGAGTGGACTCATTGAGTCAGTGGAAATTTACATAACACTTGACCTACCAAGTTCCCCCCAGATTGAGTGGGTTTAGTGTGGCACCAACAGCTGGAGTGGATGCTGCACTCTAAAAATGCAGCATCCTTAATCTTGCCCTTATGAGCACCACTCCCTCTGTTAGCAATGCTTTGGAGTGAGTGCTGGCACTTGTAGTAGTCAACAGGGCACCTCCGTGGGCTAGAGGAAGGTATTAACATGCTCAGCAGAAACGCAAGAAGGTCGAAAGTTCAAAAATAATTTTAAAAAATTCCTTAGAGGAATCTTTGCCCAACAGCCTAATGAAAACTGGCTATGTTCAGAGAGCACAAAATGCTGAAAGTTGGGGTGGAGGGAGAGGGGGTGTAGAATGGAACAGGATATTCTGGAAGTATGGTTCACTGAAACCCTGAACAGGAATATTCCACATTATGGTGTTTTGTTACAGTGTGCACAAGGAGTCTGCCTTGCAACAAAAGCATAAAGTAGACAAAAGACTTACCTTAACAATTAAGAGTTGTTGCACACTTTACACATGGAAACACACGGTCCACCACTCTCTTGCTCAATGAACAGCTAATTAATTTTGTAATTTGTGAAAGAAATGCACCTGGCAAATGTATAGCTCTGCATATGTCGGGGAACTGTAACTTCTGTAATTCTGGGCCAGCACAGTGTTGAAGGATGATGGAAATGGCCTTCCAACAAAAATAGGAAGGACCACAAAACTCTGTGTCCCTGGCACACACTTTGCCCTTTCCTGCACATGAACTGACCTGGTTTGTAAAAAAAAAACAAACTCATTTGTTTTTCCCCTTTCCTTAGACTGTACATTCCTAGAAATGAAGTTGATAACCTACACAAGCCAAGGATGTGGAAGATTTTCAGAGAAAAGTTTGCTGTGGAGCTGAACTTCACTGAGCCCTAACCAGGAGTGAGCAGTGACCCTTCTTAAATGGAGTTATTTCCTATTCTTTTTCCTCCCAGAATCATGTTGTTTATCACTACCATGGCAGCGCCCATCAGAACATCTTCCTCCCCCCATGTGCACAGCTAAAAGCATCTCTGAAATGAATGCAACATTGGAGAGTTTGCCTCCTTGTGTGGACATGCTTAGGTGATGATTAAAATAATTACTTTTGCCGACTAGTCCATGTGTGAGAAGAATGGAGTCATCAATGCAGTTTCTGCTTTTCTCCTCCCACTCTCCTGGTTGTCATAATGAGTAGCTGGCCCGAATGCAAGCCAACCACAAACTTAATTCTACATGTGGGAATTTGATTTTATATCACCAGGAGCTGACTTGAAGCATCAATGTTGATTCCTGCTGATTTAGTCCCCACAATTCTTTAGAATTAGGGCCTGTGAGATTGGTTAACAGATAATAAAACCAACTTCCAGCTCTTGGTTCATGGATGGAACACCAGGTTAGACCATGGATTTTGCTGAAACATTGACCATTCCACTGGGCAGAATACATGCTTTTACTGATTAAGATGATGTTGGAAGTTGTCTTGACTTATTCAGGGTAGTTTGAACATGAAATCCATTCTGCAGGGTAAGGCAGGCACCCACACACTTTTCTTTTTTCTTTTCTTTTTTTGGGGGGGGAGCAGGAACTGGTCAGAAAGCAAGTGAGCAGATATATCTGAAGATTCCCAGTCATCCAGGTGAGGTTATCTGGAAGTTGAGTCATGGCAACTGGACTTCTTTCTTATTAGGTTGAAGCATTTCACTTCTCATCCAAGTAGCTTCTTCAATCTGAGGAGAGTTGGTAGGAGATCCCTGATATATCCTCCACCTTGTGTTCACTTCCCCCTCCACTGGTCTGAATAGGCTTGTTAGAAAGACAACGGATGGGAGGGGTGTTCTGCAGTCCTTCTCCACCCATTGTAATAGTGCTATCAACAGGGGTGGAGACCTTAGATACAATTTATCTCCTATTTATCATGCTGCCCTTTCATCCATCCCCAGGAAGATTAGGAGGACCACACACACCAGAAAGACCACTGTTAACGACCCATTGTCCAGTTGCTATGACTCGGCTTCCAGACAAGTGAGTGGATAGTTTCTGACATATGGGCAAAACGGCCTCTATATGCTTTGGCACCCCAAGTAGCTTTGGTAGCCTCTCTGACCTTTTTATCTACTCCATTTACTGCAAATTCTGCAGCCTCTTAGCTTCATCTCCCCTACTCTTGTCTTTCAGGATTTAACATGTCAAAACAACCTTTGGAATGGAATGGGCTATCCATTCCAGTTAAGGGGTGGTTAGCAGTGCACTTGACCTGATCCTTTTTCAGTGTTGCAGGAGGGGGAAACATCTTAAGTCTCCATATGCAAATTTTACCAAGAGGACTGAAATTTGACTCAAGTGGTTACTGTAGTTTCAGAGCCAGAAAAATCCTGGGAGAGAAGCTGGCCAAGATTATCTATACCATACGGGGCCTTGTGCCCTGCCAACTATATGGCCATGCACAAGATGTATGGACACAGAATGCCACTAGAAGGAGAGACTGGCCAACCATTTCCCAGGACCTCGTACTAATGCCTAACATTAGTGCTGTAATCTCATTCATAACTAGCAAAGGACAAAGTTGCCACAAATAACTGTGGTGAATTACAGGGAATGAAATCTAATGCTTAATTTGTAGCTGAGCTCTTCACCCATAAAATTATGAAGGCGAACTTGAATGGACTGGTACCCAGTTGGCCACCTGCAATGCAGAGTGGATCTGGACAGGCTGCTGTGGTTTGGAACAAAGGGCCCCACACCTCCATGTTACAGACCATTGCTAGTAATGGTTTCTTAAGCCAATCTGTTAAATTACAATACCTACTACATGCTTGAATTTAGCAAATTCTATTTGCAGCACAGCAGGGAGCAGAACACTTTCATTTTAAAGAAAATTTTGAAAACTGTCCATAAAAAGAAAACAGGATTTGAAAAACCATTCTCCACAATTCTGTAGCCAAAGGACAGAAGTGAATGTGCTACTGCATTTAATGGCATGAATTCAATTTCCCTGCCTTGCAGCAAAGATAATCATTGTGATTTGGGTTAGCTATTAGTTCTCACTTGATAATATAGTAGAATATTGGGTATAGGATCCAAAACTCTGTAAAACATAGCTAAAAGTGCTACTTTTCACATGTGTGAGCTGATTTTCTGTACTGTGGGGGTATGTGAAGGTGTGGAAAAGAAATGGGCAGAGCCCGTTATATGAATACCAACAAATGCAGAGGTGTTCTAAATGCTACCTTGGACTGAAACTACTGTCTGATTTTCAGCATATTAAAGAAGGCTCACACTTATTTGTTATACTGATACCTTTGCTTATTATAACTGTGACAATTCAAATTGTATTTTGACTATGCTTTCTGAAATGTCCCAATCTCCTTCAAAGCCTTATTCACATGATGCCTGCACTAGGAAGGCAATATAAATATCTAGTTGCTGTTATCTTTTTCTCTAAGCATAGAATTCTACAAAATCACAAATTTAAAAAACATAGCAGGTTTATTGAAATCAAAAAACAAGACAAACCACAATCCTTTCCGTTTGTCTTAAATGGTGTCATAACAATTGTCACTCTTTCACCAGGGCAGTCACTGTGCTGAACTATAGATGTATCTGGCAATTTCAGTCCACACTTAAAAAGGTTTATGTATCAAACTGATTCATCATCAATTTCCGGCTGTATTCATAGGCAAGGAACAAAGCACCGTTGGCTGGGAAAGCACGAATAATGGTAGGTTTCAGTCCAGAATACAAGGCAAATACACCTGTGAACAAGAGCAGAGTGTTAACCAAGCCGTCTCTTAAGACTGCTTTTCCTGTCTATTTCCTCTGTGCAAACTGCATGAAAGCTGAAGAATAAACATCTTATAAAGTGACCTATCATAGCTAAACATTGGTTGCCCCAGGCCCAGAAAGCTGAATAAATATTCTGGAATATGCAGACCTGGACTATGAGATAGGGAAAGTGGTGCTTCCTGCTGGCATTCTTGTATGACTATCTCTTTGCTATATATGTGCATGCAAAATATGTTCTGTTATGTGGCAACCATTATTTATTCTGCAGTTGCAGGAAACCTGATGATTCTCAGAACATAAGCGGGACACCTTGACAAGGTGGTCCTGGGACAATGGTTAGCTCCACAGCCATAGCTTTTGCTCTTTGACTGGTTGGTCTTTTTTTTTGGCAAGCTTCACTGGGGGAATTAAGAACTGATGTTGGTGTTGTTCGAAGAAATTACATGGGAAGCATTCCCCCCTTTGCCAGGTAGGAGACGTAGAATGCAGGAAATAACTAGTCCTAGCTTTGCATATTCCAGGATATTCCTTCTCCCATAGCCCAGTTTCATGTTCTTACCTTCTTTCTGGAACACACTTGCAAATGTTCCCATAAAACCAGCCTGTTTCCCTGCCATGGAAAGAACCTGGATTCTAGATTTGATGCAATCCACTGGATAAACAGCGACCCATAAGCAGATGCCACCAACACCACCACTGACCATCAGTGCAACTGGACCTGCAAAACCAAGCAGTGTTGGCTTTAAGACATGTTGATGGCTGGAACAGAAAATTCACCTGAATCTTTCTCCATCCCTTGTATGGTAACAAAAACCAAAATCCACAATTCAATGATTTTCCTGATGCCCCCCAATTTGCTGCTTCCCTGCCTAATGATACAATGGCCCCCAAGCCACATGCAATGTGTGTACACAATTCTGAGGCACCTCATCATCTTAAGCGGTGAGACCCACTGCAGGCCATTGACCATGATGATCAGTGTTTTATGAAGGAGCTGGATGAAGGACTGCCTGCTACAAAGGTTGCTGAGGGGCTTAGGTTTATATGGAAGTGATCAGTCATCACTACAGATGGCTGTTTCCATGTTTCTGGGACTGGTGAGGCAAATTTCTGCCTTTCTTGCTTTTCTCACTATCAGTACTTCTCTTTATTCATAGGGGAGGCTCTTACACACACAGAGAGCTCTACAAAAAGAACTCCTCTCCATACACCCCGGGTTTCAAATTATGTATTTCTGCACAACTGAAGCCCCTACCTTTTGCTGACGGCTGCTTTGGAAGGAGATCATCACATATCCTATTATAGCAAGAAGCTATTTTTGAGAGCAGAAGGGCCATGTCTCCTTTTTAAAGACATTGGCAGCCCTCCTCAACTCCACAAAAATAAAAATAAAAAAGGAAGAAAGAAAAGAAAAAAGGCTGTGTGGTCCTTATACACAACCCAAAGGCAAAGGTGAGGCAATGGCCTTATTGGACCAGTAAATAATTCCCAGCAGAAGGCAGCTTTCAACCCATATTGGTCTTCATCAGTCTGAGCACCACAGTGCTGTAGGCGGTGCACAAAAGGATGTCCAGAGCTTTGTGGCACAGTGGTTAATCTGCAGTACTGCAGCCAAAACTGCTCACAACCCAGGTTCAATCCCAGGTAACCGACTCAAGGTTCACTCGGCCTTCCATCCTTTCAAGATTGGGAAACTGAGTGCCCATCTTGTGTGGATGGGGAGGGGCAATGTGTAACCTGTATAATAAAATTGTGAACCGCCCAGAGAGTGCTTTAAGTGTTATGAGGTGGCATATAAGCAGCATGCTTTTCTTTCTTTCTTTTTTTGCATTTCCAGAAATCATGACCATGATTTTTTTTCTGCAACATCTAAAGCCTGATGAAGACAATTAGCTTTTGTTTGTAATATTTTAAGGCCCAATAAAAGGACTGGCTGACTAGTGAGTTAAGGTATCTGGCTGTGGAGCCAGAGCTTGGGAGTTCAGTTCCCCACTGTGCCGCCAGAGAGAAGAAGAGCCAGCCTGGATGGCTTTGGGCAATGACAGCCCATATATAACAAAAAAATCACCTGCAGATGCTCCACAACTCGCCTGATCTCGCCTGCTGTAAATCCTGTCCCCAGTGCCACAGGGAGTGATATTTTATTTAAATGCAGCCTTGTTCTTATCTGTTATCCATAGTCATTAATACATTTGGATTTATTTATTTTCTGTTACTGTTTTATAGTTACCCTGTTTCCCTGAAAATAAGACCTAACCTGAAAATAAGCCTGAGTAGGATTTTTTCAGGATGCTTGTAATATAAGCCCTTCCCAAAAATGAGCCCCAGTTAAGTGAAATCCTGCCTTCTACCATTGTGCAGCAACCAGAAGAAGATGACATGACTCTATTTGAATAAATGTAGATTGTTGTACATGAAAAAAAAATCTCCTGAAAATAAGCCCTAATGTGTTTTTGGAGCAAAAATTAATATAGGTGAAGGTAAAGGTTCCCCTTGACAATTTGTCCAGTTGTGTCCGACTCCAGGGGGCGGCGCTCATCCCCATTTCCAACCCATAGAGCTAGCATTTGTCCGAAGACAATCTTCCGTGGTCACGTAGCCAGCAAAAATTAATATAAGACCCTGTCTTATTTTTGGAGAAACACAGTATTATTGCTTTCAGTCTAAAAAAAATGAGAATCAGGATAATAATGATATAAAATAAAGATAGCCCGCCCCCACCTTGTTAAGAGACCTAATAAAATTTTGGTGTAATTTAGGACTAATCCATAGTTAAACTCTAATTACAAGGCCTGTGTAAGAACATCAGGGGTCAAGAGGTAAGGTCATATTCATTAATCTGGTATTGATTTTTTTATTTCCTGTGCACATTGTTTTGGAAACTATCTATCGTGAGAGGCAGCTAATCCATTGACTAGGGCTGACTCAGGTAAATTATGGGATCTCCTTGTCCTCAAAGGCATGCCAAAGAGAAAAAGATGCATCTCCCTTATTTCTTCCCTTTCCATGCAAAATGTATCATGACATGAGCTACCCAATTGTCAGACTCAGCTTTCAGGTTACATTAATATGCTTTGTCTCCTTCATTTAAAAAAAAAGTTAAATTAGAGGAAAGGAACTGTTTCAGAATATAAGTCAAGAAATCTTGCTGACTGGCATGACAAGCAAAGGGAAAGGTGATGGGGGTGGGAGATGCCCGTATGTGTTAATGTCAACAGAAAATGTACGAAGATGTGTCCGAAGTTTTCAAAGAATTGTTATGTCCGGAAGAAGGCAGAAGAGGAAGCAAGGTTCAGCTTTAAGTTCAGCAGGCAGACACAGCTGAATAAACAAGAGTTCTGACCTAGATGGAAATGTCTCGGGTGGAAAATTCATCCCTCTTTCCTGTCTCATTACTTCTTTTTGTCCTCTTCTTAGTTTTTCCTCTTCACATGACCAGAAGTTCCACCTCCAATGGAGGAGTCCCCTATTTACTATACAGAGGCTGGTAAGAATGAGCACTAGAATAGGATGCGCCCATAGCTCAATGCTCTGGGGCCACTGTCAGAGGTAGGGAAGCTTTGGGTGTCCACTGACTTTAGCCTACAATTATTTGTTTTATCTATAGGCTGCCTTTCTCCTGGAGGCAGGGGGTGCATCATGGCCTCTCCCAATTTGAAGAGACCCTTGTCCAGCAGGCTGAGGCAAAGAGGCAGTCCCGAAACCAGCAAAATCAGGGAGCTGGACAGGGGATAGACTGTATTTGTCTTCCGTGCGGAAGAGATTGTCACTCTCGAATTGGCCTTCTCAGCCACACTAGACGCTGTTCCAAGACCTCTCTATTCAGAGCCCGTTACCATAGTCTCTCAAGACTGAAGGGTGCCTACACAAGAGTCTTGACTTCATGGAAGCCACAGTCAAAGAGGGCCTCCCCTCCACCCCATTTTAATGTCATCATCAAGCCAAAACATACCTATTTCCTCTTTTGGTCTTCCAAAGGCAAAAAATGTCCGACTCAGCTCATAGCCCCCAAAGAACAAAAAATAGCCTGGGATTTCCCGTAGCCAAGTGCTGGACAGACCGCGGTAGAATCCAAGGGGCCCGTCTCTCTGCACAACATCTTTGATGACAGACCAAACTGTACTAAGAGAGGAACAAAAAGTGTAAAAACAGCTTGCAGAAGCAAACACATTTCAAATTTAAAATAGGGGTCTCCTCTGTTACATTTTATTTATATCCCAACTTTCACCCTGGTAGCCCAGTTTAGCTACCTTATAGCAATGCCCTTACCTTACAGGGTTGTTATAAGCATAATGCTTGGAAAGATTTTGAACAAAGTACTATACCAATCAGCAGGTATGTGCAGGTATATTCTTTTTAACGAAATATAGCACAAAGCTAGCCGGGCTAAGCTGTCACGGGAGCGAGCCCCATGGAAACTTCTGCCTTCCTTACTTGTGTCCTTCCACAATCTTCCCAGATAACTGCATTTCGTGCATGGTCTGCAGACGGCATTTCACCAGCTCCGTGGGGCAGAGGACCAAGGCAGCAAAGGCAGATGCAAAAGAACCTGCTGCAGCATTCTGAAGGTCACTGCAAGAGAGACAAAGAATGAATCAGGGACATGAGAGGCAGATGCCTTGATATGTAACCCAACCCAGCCATGCAGATTTGCAGTTTTCCCTAAACGGAACTCTGTGTAGGGACAGCAGAGGAGTGGCTTGGAGTAACAAGAGGGGACCACACCGAGAGGGCAGATAGGAGATGGGATTGGATGGGTACAAAGGATCAAGGCCCCAACTGGCCAGCAAAGAATCTGAACGAGGAGAGAGGAAATGAATCAAGAAGACCAACTTTCTGCTATAAAGCAAGAACCTGTACAACCAAAATATCACTGATAGATCTCCATCCAGTTCAAACTCACCCAGCCTTTTTTAAAAGGCAGACTACTCGACAACTGCCCTAAGCAACATATTCCTCAGGTAAAATACCCTTATAATTACATCAGTTTTAAAACAGAAACACTGCTTCCACATCTGCTGTCTTCAATGGAAATGCGGAAAATGTTTCCCTTCTTCTTGTCCACGGTGTTAAATATTTGAAAGCTACCAATTTACCTTTGCCACCATCACCTCAATCTCTTAAATTGTCCTTCCTCTGTTAACACAAGTTAGGGAAACCAAACTGGCTTCGTTCTTGAGTCTTTGTTCTCTCGCAACACAATAAGGCATATTAAAAACTTACTGGCCAGAGAACAGCACACCTAGAATAAACACTTTGGCCTGTATTCCAATGGATTCAGTGAATAATTTTAGTGAAATCAACTGAGAAGTTCCCCACACTGCAAATAATGATTGAATTTGTTCTTGCTGTTCAGTCATTAAGTCGTGTCCGACTCTTCGTGACCCCATGGACCAGAGCACACCAGGCCCTCCTGTCTTCCACGGCCTCCCAGAGTTTGGTCAAATTCATGTTGAATACATAATCCTAACATCAAATAAACTCTGAAGCTGTGAAATGGGATACAAGACAGCTAAAGCGGCATCATTAAACCTATCTACTCTAAAAAAATGTATTCAGGTAAATTTATGCAACATGTGGATTAGAAATTTAACCCTCAGTCATCCGCAATATATAAACAAGTGACAGGGAGTTTTCCAGAATATAATATCTGTATTTTAAAGCACAGTCTCCAGCATGCATTGCCTTTCTGGACAGTAGCTGAGGTATCATTTCTGTTATGTGAGTGTGTGGTACTCTACTCTTATTGGGCTTTAGATATTTGGGCACCATCCTTCATCCAACATGCTCCACACAGGGCTGCACTCAAAATCATTTTTGGATGGTCCAGGCTGTTGTAAAATCTGATGAAAATGCATATTGAAGACACAAACTGCAAGCACTGACTTTCAGCCTATGCATAATTCAGGACTGTCTTGGCTTAAGATAACCCCATTCTTTTATGGTGTTCGTCAGGTTGCACTGACTTTCAGCCTATGTATCAGGACTGTCTTGGCTTAAGACAACCCCATTCTTTTATGGTGTTCGTCAGGTCCAGTCAATGGGTTGGAAGCAGGCCTTTCTGCATGGCTCGCCTTCAGTTTCGGAATGACTTACCTGGACGGGCCGGCTGGTCCCAACTCACTCACTTTCAGGGAAAGAGGCAGAGATCTTCCCATGTGGGACTTCCCTGCAGTCTATTTGGCTTTAAGAGTAGCTAAGCTTTCCTTTCATGGATCTGGTTATTTTCATGTTCTAAGACTTTGTTGCAATTTCTATTGCAGTTTCAGACGGTAACTCATCAAAAAAGGTTAAAAAAAATATGTGGTGTCATCCTGCTGAACAGTTGCTATCTGGTGACTTTTAGCTTGGAACAGTTTCAGACGGTAACGCATCAAAAAAGGTAAAAATAAATATGTGGTGTCATCCTGCTGCACAGTTGCTATCTGGTGACTTTTAGCTTGGAAATAATAATAAATAAATTATTTGCCAGGGCCATAGGTCAAGTCACAAGATAGCTGGCTGACCACAGGAGTCTCACATGATACACACCGCTAACTTGCAGAGGCCATAAATGGGTAAGCTGTAGATGCCATTCGAAAGCGGGGATGGACATGGGATGCAAAAAGAGGAAATTTCTTGGCTATGGATGTTTGCTCACCTTGGCTAAGGCTAAGCTTATGCTCCTGATCAGGCCCAGAGGAAGTAACAATGTCACATAACTTGGGCTTCTGTCTGGATGCCCTTCGTTAGACACATTGGTCTGCGAAGGAAAGCGAAAGGCTGATAAAGCAATCTCCGGGATAGGCTTCAAAACAAATACATGATGTGCTCTGAGCAACAAATGGCACAGCTCTAGAACTTGCTTTTGCTTCAAAATAAGACAGCAGGGAGAAGTTTTTGGGACCCCTTTCCCTCTATGTGAATTTTGGTCTAGATGGGCGGGCTATAAATCTAAATCTAATAAAACACAGTGGTGCCTCGCTTGACGATTACCTCATTAGATGAGGAAATCGCATGACGAATAGTTTTTTGCGATTGCTATTGCGATCGCTAAACAATGACTGAATGGGCTTTTTTCGCTTAACGTTGATCAGTTCCCTGCTTAAGGAACCAATTTGTCACTTAACGACGATCAAAAACAGCTGATTGTCGGGTTTCAAAATGGCCGCCTGCTGTGCAAAATGGCTCCCCGCTGTGCTTTAGGACAGATTCCTCGCATTACAGGCACCGGAAAATGGCCGCCCTATGGAGGATCTTCGCTGGACGCTGAGGTATTTTGCCCATTGGAACGCATTGAACCAGTTTTCAATGCATTTCAATGGGCTTTTTCATTTCGCTTGACGAGGATTTCGCTTAACAGCGATTTGACTGGAAAGAATTATCCTTGTCAAGTGAGGCCCCACTGTAAATAAATGAAATAAATTTTATTTATGTCCTGTCTCTCTCCCAGATCTGGGAAGCATGCTGGCTCACAACATAACTGAACCAAAGACAAAACTAAAAACCACGCTACATCATAATATTAAAACACAAGTAAACAAACTATTTTGTTAACAAAACCCCAAATGAAAATAATGTTAAAATTCCTTAAAAGCACAACAGTGGAAACCCTCCTGCCCTATGTGGCAGACAGCCCACACGTCACTCCTGTCAGCCATTTTAGAGCTCCAGTGCAGGAGCCTATGACAGGACAGGAGGGGCGGAATCAAGGGAACTGGGAGTGTCAGAGAGGCAGTTAGAGTGTGACACAGTTAGTTAGGAAAAGATGGTGAAGCGTTTAGACAGTTAGAGAGAAGACTAAGAAGTGTTTAGGCAAGATATTGGACAGTTATTTGTTAGAGAATAGTAAAGTGTTAAAAGGAATTAGAAGTACATAGACAGAGATCTTGATTAAAGATCTTGATTACATAGATTGAGATCTTGATTAAAGCAAATGAGTACAAGCAAGCTTATAAGTAATCAAATCCACATTTAAGGAATGAATGATAGAACACCCATGATTTTCCTTCTGTGATTCACTTATTAATCTTTAAATAAACCTGGTTTTGCTTGGCAGCAAGAGTGTGAAACTCATAATTGATATAGTGAGGATAATATCCTCTGGTGGCAGCGAAAAAGTGGAAAAGTACAAGTCGTGTCCTAAGGTGAACTTGTGTGAGAGGCAAAACACACAGGGGTCACTGGGGGTGTGTGACACCCACCATCTAGCAGTTCAAAGTCTCTTCCTTAACAGAAACACAAGTAAACAAACTATTGTGTTAACAAAACCCCAAATGAAAACAATGTAAAAATTCCTTAAAAGCACAACAGTGGAAACCCTCCTGCCCACCATCCAGCAGTTCAAAGTCTCTTCCTTAACAGAAAGTCAGTCACCGAAGGCCCAGCTGAATCAAAAGGTCTTAGCTTGCAGGCAGAAGAACCACAGGAAGGGCCTTCTCTCCCCAGGAAGGGAACTCCACAGCCTGTGAAAGCACACCATTCTTCCAGACTCTTCGTTCAAATCACCTGGACCTGAAAATTCCTACTGAAAATGTGTAACAAGAGATTGGGTGGCGTCTGCAGTGTTTTTGATAATCTGATCTGTTACCTAATTTAAGCAGACTGTCTGGATTAATGTTAGGACTTAAATGGCAGAAATCTAAGTAACGACTGGCTTGTTTTGTCCACCATAAGCTTTCGTGAGCATTGTTGTGAATGTTATGGAAAGGGAAGGATATACATATTGTTCAGAAGTAACAGTGGAGAACCAGATAGCAAAAATCCTTCAGAATACACACTGCACCATTAGGGGAGAAACTTCTAGCTCTGTCTTTTGAGACTGGATTTAGCATCTGCTAGTAGTGCAGAGCTGAGAGGGAAACCAAGGTTCATCACTCACCTCAGCTTTGCATTCTTATCGAGTCCCAGGATCCTCCTCACAATATTTTGGCAAAAGCCGTAACACATGAAGAGCACCGCGTTCTCAGCAATGTTAGCGACAAGTGCAGGGCTGGTCCCCTTGTAGAAGCCTCGAAAGCCCACCTGCTGGTAAGTCTTCACAAAACAGTCTGCCAGCCCCCGGTACATGGTGGGGAAGGTCTGCATTTTCACCTTGGCAGTATCAAATGGCTGGCCCGTCATGACACAGGCCGTGCCCCCTGGACAAAAAAAAAAAAAAAAAAAAAAAA